GGTTCTGTTTATTTTTCGGATGAAAAAGTTTAACGCATTTTTGTATAGGGAGGGGAGTAGTGAAAGAGTGATTGAAGTTACCCCAAATCAAAAATTTCTCATCTACGTCTTTTTACCTTCGCTTCTATCTATGATGTAAAGTCAGAATTTTATTACCCAGGTTAGTATCTTCAATCCATTGGGATATCGGATACCTACTGCAATAAAAAAAGGAAGCAATAAAATTGTCCACGACGTTTTCCATTTCCCCATGGTTTAACACAAAAAAGGAAGAGGCGAGATAAATTTTAACACAAAGGGCAATATCTTTTTCGCTTCCATTTTCCTTGCAGTATCAAAATTCCAAGATGTTTGTGGTGCAGTGCTGCCAAGATAAAGGGAATAACACCTTTCCATCGCGGAGGGGTCAACCGAGTCCATCTTCCGACTCACCACGCAATTCTTATCACGCAGGAATTCTATTTACTGTTATTTGGAGAACAACGGGGAAAAAGCGGCCATTTCTCTAGTTTGGCCAAATCGATAAGTTTACAACACGTAGGACTGGCGCCGTAGAGTCGTCAAACGAACTGGACCCTTCTCAGTTTCGCATCGTGGCACGTACTATGTGTGTTTAGATCACTTGTTCGTTGCACATTGTGAAAAATATGTTGACCATCATTTTAAGTGAGTGAGCGTGCAAAATTTAAGGTTCTTTTACATAGTTTGATTAGATCTGTGGAGAACTGCAGTTAGAATAAAAGTGACTAATGGTCTTTAGGAAAATAATAAGGGTTTTGCTCTTATTAAAGGGTAAGTATGTTAACTTCACAGAATATCAAGTTGAAGACTTGAAAAACTACTCATTTCGCCAAAGGTAAAATTCTGTTCATCGTACAGCAAATACAAAAAAATTAATTCAAGAACAAATACATGAATAAAAAAAATTCATTCAAGAACAAATACACAAATAAAAAAATTAATTCAAGAACAAATACACAAATAAAAAAATTAATTCAAGAACAAATACATCGATAAAAAAATTAATTCAAGAACAAATACATCAATAAAAATAAGAAATTTTTCTGTATAGAAATGGTATGATACAAATAAATATTTGCTTTAAAGTGTAATTTAGTATTTTTGGACTAGAAATATTTTTCGCTGAAAAATTACTTATGTAGTATGAGATGGTTAACAAAGGCAAATAATAGTTTCCTTATTTTGAAAACAAAACAAAGGCAGGGTGAATGCAACCATGAATTCTGAAAATAAGGACTGAAAAAAGGGAAGTTTAAATTGTAATTACAAAAAAAAAGTAGAAATAAGAATCAAAACAAGAACTATATGATGAAAATTGGATGGAGAAAAAATTGAAAACTCTCTCAAACTCTACCATCTTTTACAAGATTTCATTACTTCAAATACATTCCTCATTGTTTGAAAGCCAAATAATTAAGAGAAAAAGAGCGTCAAACGTTCATGAAAATGTTCGTAGTACTCTAAGATCTCTGACAAAGAGCCAAGAGCAAAACTTACGATTCGATGTCGCTTCTAATTATAACTTTTAAACATTGCCTTTTTTTTATTTCATCTCAACCCACACTTCCCAACCAAATAGATGGAAAAAAATAATTACAAGAGAGGTTGCTGCCATTGTTAAACTTAATGTCTGTCAATCTCTCTTGGCTTTTCAGATATCTTACTTAAATACTACGTTTTGACAGTCTCATTAGAATTTTTAAGTTCCATCCATTTTGAAACGTACGTCAAAGCAAAATGGGAAAACTTGGGGGTTCGAAACAAGTACATAGTATACGCTACGAAACGCAAATACCCCCCTTATGAGTCATTGATTGCTATGCACATCTCATTAGCTAACAGCTCCCAGCACATCTCTACCGTACACACACGTATATATGCACACATATTTATCTCCCCATGATGGGGGAATATTGGGAAGAATTTTATTTTATTTTATTACTTCCACAGGGGATGTAGAGGGATATGTGTTAGCGCCTATCCCCTCACCACTTGAAACAAGCGTTACTTCACCTCATTTTTAGGAAATGGTAATATAATTGTGACCACAATTCCATTTTCCACCAACTTCCTGCTCGACAATTGGAATTTTCGAAGATCTAATCGAATGGGCAAAAATAATGGTGGATTCTATTTTTGGTCAATTCGCATGAATAACAGGCAATTTTTCGATTCGACTATAGATGATTTGTAGCATTTGGCGTGCCACGCCCACCAGCTGTGGGGTATGGCAGTTGAGCCGGGGGAGGAAGGAGAGTTGACAACTTATATCATCATTTTTTAACTGAGTATTCAGACGTGAAATGATCTTGCAGCTAAATCTGACAATTAAAAAAATTATGCTTCCTCTTATACAATAAGCTACGAAAAATAGCTAAAGAAAAATTTATATTTTAACTACCACGATCATCAGCATTTTAGCCATGTAAACCAAATATTTTAGTTAGTATTCAAAACTTATTATATTTCTTCTTGTGTGTAATGTTGTATTAAATGAAATGTATATCCGTCGTTTATTATATATATTATAGGTTCACAAATTTCTTCAAAAATATGAAGCATTTTTTTAAAAAATTTTTTTATTGAGGAATTTGGGTAAGGAACACGGAAATAACCTTCGTTTTCATCTCCCATTCCCAAGTTCGCCTACAGCTGAAGAGAAATGTTTTATGTGACATCATAAAAATATCGTTTGTAGAAAAGTAAAAGATCTTCCAAACAGCTTATTTAAAATATTTTCACTGCTAATTTCCTTTTTAAAAGATATCCTTAGAATGTCTATTTCAATATCGCAAATATTAATCTGGATTCCATACCTTTCATTACATTAAAATTAGGATAAATCTTTTGAGTAAATGTTTTCCCAATGTAAATGTTTTTAATGAAAGACAATATATGAAAATGTATTTAATACAGTGGCGCATACAAGAGGGGGGGTCCTGGGGTCCGGAACCCCCCCAAAGCCCTTAATTTTTTTCCGATTGATTATAATTCTAAGTATATAGTACGTAAAATTTAATTAATTACTTGTTATTAATGATTAATTTTATTAATTAATGCTAATTATTTATTCAAAAATTAGTTTTTTACTGTGTTTTGTTCCCGAAAATCGACAAAATCAAAAGCAGCCAGATACAAGAAAGGTGAACTTTCGACCCCGGAACCCCCCCTTGAAAAATTCCTGTGTGCGCTACTGATTTATTAATACAATGGTTACTAAATGGCTTTGCCAATTTAAGTAAACTAAGATCCAATTAATCTAGTTATTCATTTGTTAAACGAAAAAAAAATTAGTAGCCACTACCAAGTGTATCTGAAATAAAGAAATAAGATATTATGTGTGTGTTTGTTTCCTGGTACACGAAGAAAAAAACTACAGAAGTTTATTGCAGTTGAAATGGCGACATGTGATTTTCAAAAATACTTTATCGACTATTGCAGAAAATATTTTGAAAAGGCAGTATAAGTTTGTAACTTTTTATATAATACTTACATCCTTGATAACAATAAAAATCTAACAGTTCTAATTACAAATATTATCATGCAAGCATTCATCAAATTCAGAGGTGGGCAACTATTTTGGATCACTTTGCAGTAGAGGATAACAGAGGGCGACACCTTTTAAAAATGTTTGCATCCATTAGTTAACTTTGTATCTCAGAAAAGGTATAAATTGTACCATAAATATCAATAAATATGTTGAATTATTCAATGGCAGTTTTATTCAATTTATTTTCTGAGCTAATTTCATGTCATAGCTGCAAGTACATTTAATTTTAGAATTAGTTAAAGGTATCCGACTACGTTCGAAGCCGTGATTTTGCAAAGCGCATAAATGGATAGTTTTTATGATATTTAGTATCACTTAGATTAGAATACATGTATAAAATTGTTTTCAGGACATTTTGACAAAAAAAATTTAAATACAATATTTTGGCAAAAAATTAACTTAGAATAATCTTTTTTCCAAATGTTCTCCTTTTGTGAACAATGCTTCTTTTATAATATTTTGCCTGTATATAGCTCAGACTTTTCTACAGAGGCTCAACTAAAGTTTTTGAAATATATAACTTAGAAGTGGGTTTATTCATATTTTACGACAACAGAAAGAAGCAATTTTAAGAAAAAAAGGCCCAATAATTATTCCAATTGGTGGTAACTCTGAAAATAATGTGAATTTTTCAAAAATTCTAGTTGAGCCTCTGTAGAGAGGTCTGAGCTATATACAGGCAAAATATTATAATAGAAGCATTTTTCACAAAAGGAGAACATTTGGAAAAAAGATTATTCTAAGTTAATTTTTTGCCAAATATTATATTTAAATAAATTTTTTTTGTCAAAATCTCCTCTGCAAGTTAATGACAACCATCTTGTATTTATATTTATTCTTGTTGATGTTTCATACAAAAAACCAAAATTGACTTTTATATATTGACCAAATACAGAGAAAATTTTCTGTCTATTTGATTTTCAGATAGTACAGGCGAGCTGCATGTTTCTCACCCCTGGTTAGGTTAATAGTCGAACCAAACTTATTTAATACAGCAGAGCTTGTTAGTGAATATTCATGGAGTATATATGGATAATTAAAAACAGTATTTGGTATGTGGTATTAAAGTAATGATGAGTTTTAACACGAGAGGCTACCAATTTTGAGCATACAATGAGTTGCACGAAAACACACACAAGCAATATAAAAAAAAAATTAAGTCAATTCCTACTTAGGTCAACAAGAAAAATGTTATTTTAGTTATAATTAATATAAATCTGTATATACATGACAGAATCCCAATATTAACTGAGAAAATAGAAAGTGATTTTCCAAGGAATTTTTATGTTTTCCTTTCTATATATGGTGTTGGAATTTTGTTTGTTTGTTACTATTAATTATTCTAAATATTACTATTAATTATTCTAAATATTTAATTATTCTAAAAAATAGTATAGTAAAAATAAATCACATTCTCATGAAATTAGGCCATCCCCGGTGGGATTCGAACCCACGACCTTTGGATTAGAAGTCCAACGCGCGCGCGCGCTATCGAATGCGGTACAGAGACACAACGAATAATTTGCCTTTCTATATATGCTGTTGGACTATTATTCTTGTTTTTGTTACTATTTATTCATTTTTAATTCAATTAATGAATTCGCATTTGGAAAAACTGTATTAACATCAAGTGTCATCCACTACGAGTTTAAAAAACTGTATTTGAACTTGAATGAATGAATAGAAAGTATTTTATGAACTATTGAAAATTTGAACAAGATATATATATTTAAATAAATATATATAGGAAGAGAGTGAACTAAAGGGGAATTGAAAAACCTTTCACAGAAAATAAGTCGGTTACAATGCATCAGTCATTGCATTTATAGTTCTAAGAATCTCTATAAATGATGTATAATTCCATGTGAAGAGCATGAAGAACACAGAAATACATATTTTTCCATTAAATTTTCATTCCTTGGGTCAGAAGCAAGTCCAGTTCAGACGATAGAGTGAAGCAATATCTAAACTGTTACCTTACGGGAGAAATTGACAGTTTCATCAGAGACGGTTACTTAACATTTTCGGTAACTAAATGAGCCTCAAATTATCCCGGTTTATTGATCTGGAAGAGAATTTTTTTGTCCTTTTCTTAATTAAATTTAAACCAGTCTATTCCCGTGAAATTCAAGGTTTTTTCTTCCTTCTGATTAAAAGATGCGCATAAAATTGAAAAACTAAAAATGTTTCATAATAGCCTATTTCTTATTTAGTAACTGGTATAATAAATCTAAGACCTAATAGTTCCAGATGCTGTGTAACCGTCAAATGGTAAGGTATTCAATGCAAAAAGTAATTTTTGAGCAAGTATTTTTTTTTACTTCATAACAAATGCTTGATAGCGAAATTGTCCGATTTTCCCAAAAATGCTATTCCGGCAACTTTACCAGTATACTTCAAAAGATAAAATACTTTTATTTCACTATTTTCACTTCTACTCACTATACTTAACTGTTGTGTGCCCTAAAATTCATAACTTAAGCATTACCTCAGAACTGATTCAATTTAAATAGTATTTTAGACTTCAAGAATCCTTTTCTTCAATGGATGAAAAAGACGAAAGGAAAAGGGAGAAAAAAAGAAATAACTAGTTCAACATATGTATAATATAACGTCAAGAGCAATTCTGTTCAAGCCTGGATAAGTTTATCAATTTCCAATTTTTAAAAACATAACGCCTGTTATTGGAACTCATTTTACAATCTGTTCATAAAGAAAGTTTAAAAGGGGCGAAAAGTAAATAAAAATAAAGGTCTACGCGAGATGCAATAATCCTCCTACACAAATTCTCTTTTATTATATGTGTCACAAGGGATAATGAATCCTTCGCACCACAGAACAGCCGAGTGAATCAGAGAGGGCTGGAATTCAGGAAATGCAGCGGGAAGACCTCCGATAATGCGGAAACAGGGACAATCTTTTTATTTTTATTATTATTTTTATTTTAGATGATGAATTTCAGTTTCCTTTTACGAGTCCTAGTACAGAAGGAAGGAGTAATGACAATTGGGATTTGGGACTGCTACACTATTCCTTTTTCTTGATTATATCAAGATAAGAAAAGTACCGGATTAAACTATTATAAAAAATATTATTAAAGATTGTTTTCAAAAAAGGAATTTAAAAAAAATGCTATAAATAAAATCCAAAATGACACACCATAAATTTAATGTATTTTTTTAAAAAAATACATTAATTTTAAGGGGGGGGGTGTACATCATTAAAGTTACATTGTTGATAAAAATTATATTATACAGGAGATGTTATTTAAAAAACGTTCATCTACGCTCTAAAATTTATTTCATTTCCAATAATAAGTACTAAAGACTTCACGTATGAAAAAAAACAGCTGTATGTCAATACCTGAGATTTATAACTCAAAATACGCTATGAGTAGATTCATAAAAATATTTTACTTCTGCTGTGAACATGAGGCTGGACGTCATGATCTCGATATTAAAGATAAAAGAAAAATGTATGGTACTGTACTAGGAAAGTTAAACGTTAATAGAGCACGAGAAAAAAAAATTACATCACCAGTAAGTCGATTAAAGTACAGAATTTTTGTAAGCTAAATAGAAAACTCTGAAAAATAAAATTTTATTGATTTATCCAAGGTAAACAACCTGGGCTTTCATATATTAAGAATTATAGTTACTCTTTCCATTAAAAAAACATCGGAATCAAAAAGGGAGGGAAAAAAAGCAATCAATTTTAACTAAACAACCACAGAATCGACTTAGATTAGACGCTCCTCAATTTAAAAAGAAAAAAAATGCTACAAAATTTCTTCTTATAATACTTTAAACACCGACCATTTCCATTCCCTCCTGAGTGCTCAATGGATGCAAAAAGTTCCAATTGTGTTACATTGTATAATCGAATATCATTCACATTTGGAGATTTTTAACTAATTCCTTTTAGTGTATAACACGATTCTAAGAGGGGGGGGACATCTATCTTTCAGTCAGTTTACATACTTTTACTAACCATTTAAAACTGCAAAATAAAATCAATTACGGAAATTAGATTGATCGAGCGTCAGCGTGAGAGCGCTTATATGCTCAGTATAATATAAAACCAATTAAATACACATATTTTACCATCTTGCTTTAATGTATTCGACTACGTTCGGAACCGTGATTTTATAAAAACGCATAAATGGATAATTTTCATGATATTTAGTGTCACTTAGATTAGAATGCATGTACAAAATTGTTTTAAGGACATTTTTAAATACAATATTTCGGCAAAAAATTAACTTAGAATAACCTTTCTTCAAAACGTTCTCCTTTTGTGAAAAATGCTTCTATTATATAATATTTTGCCTGCATATAGCTCAGACCTCTGTACAGAGGCTCGACTATGATTTTTGAAAAATTCACATTTTCAGAGTTACAACCAATTAAAATAATTATCGGCGTTTTTTTCTTAAAATTTCTCCCCTCTGTTGCCGTAAAACATGGACAAACCCACTTCTAAGATATATATTTCAAAAATTCTAGTTGGCCTCTGTACAAAGGTCTGAGCTATATACAGGCAAAATATTATTTTAATAGAAGCATTTTTCACAAAAGGAGAATATTTTGAAAATTGGTCATTCTATGTTCATTTTTTGTCAAAAAATATTGTATTTAAATAATTTTTTATTGTAATACTACTCTTAAAACAATTTTATATACATTTTCTAATTTAAGTGACACTAAATATAAATATTATCCATTTATACGCTTTTGCAAAATCACGGTTCCGAACGTAGTCGGATACCGGGGTCTCAGGGGTGTTAAATTTCTCTAGAGGTCTGAAAATATAAACGATTTTCAAACGGGTATAATTCTTTTAAATTTAAATTAAATGATTCGAATCTTTTACATGTTATTTAAAATAGAATGGGGCTTCAGAAAAGTATAAAATGTTTAAAATATAATAATAATTTTAAGTCATAAGCATATGAAAATTCTATAATAAATATTAAGTATTTTTTGCTTTGCGCACGCTATTTTCTAAAATATTAGCCTCTGATGTATAAAACTTTATAGAATTATACAATGCCTCATACTCTTTAAACTCTACCTAGTTTTATTATATATCTTTTGTATTTCAAAATATTTGTAAAATATTGCAATTTTTTAAATATTTTTATAAATGTATATTTTTTATTTATTAAAATATGTAAGTTATTATTCTATTTATATAAAAGTAGCTACAAAGTATTAAGAATACATTTGCCTTTATAAATCAACTTATAGCTCTCTAGTAATTAAACCTACTCTTTTAGAAAATAGCATGCGCGACGTAAAACTTAATAAATATTTCTTATAGAAAAATTTCTTATTTTCATATGCTTATAATTTTTAAAATTATGATAATATTTTAAACATTTTATACTTTTCTGAAGCCCCATTCCTTTATAAGTAATGTGTAAGAGATTCGAATTTTTTTAATTAAATTTAAAGCAATTATACCTGTTTGAAAATTGTTTATATTTTCAGACCCCTAGAGAAATTTAACACCACTATGACCCCTTAAGAAACAATTTGTATCCATACATTATTCTTCCTGGACAGAGAGTATCTTCTTTAAAAGACGATCATGGGTTTGTTCCTCCCTCCTTTCTATGTGTGCATCCATTTTTCAATCCCTCTCTATCCACCTAATTCTGAGCGACAGACCACGAAAAAACACTCATGAAGAATTCGATCGATATTTTTCCCTAATCGTCGCCTATTCCGACACATCAGCACTTTATTATAACATTTTTAGAAGCATATTCCCCACACCAATTTTTTTTTTACTAAGAAAGGAGGATCGCACTTTAATCTAGTGAACGTGGCTGCCCGCAAAAGAATGCTGTGGGACATCCATTCATCACCAACGAAGCAGACAAAGACATCTGACGGTGATGGGAGGGATTCGAATGATACCTTCCTGCCCTCCTTCTCATCCCCCAAAAGCTTTAAAGATACCCCAATTTAAAGAACATTATGGGATTTCAGGCGTAAAAATGGTTTCCTCTACGCTTGATAAATACCGCTTTTAAAAAGACAGCATTGTTTGTAAGTGAATATTTATTTCTGTGATTGCTCTGCAATAATACTGCTATTTATCGAATTAGGGGTAGCACGGCACGCCCTGGTGGTTTGAGAAAATTATCCGCATTATTAGTATAGTTCGAGTTCTTTTAAAGATTATGATATATTTTAAATGAATGAATTCAAGGTCTGATATGGGAAAGAGGGAGTTTTAACAAGTTGAGTAGGATGAAGCTTTTGAACTGCTAAGTCGAGAAAATCAGGATTCAAGATGACAGGATTACGAGGGAGAAATAAAATAACTGTAACGTTAGGTCATAAAGTTAGATTTATGTAATTAAGCTGATAAATGTTTGCTTTGTCAAAATCTTTCAAGGGTTAAATTTGGAATATTTGCACATGCACTTATTCTTTATACTAGAGAGGTTACTATTAAAGGATTTTAAGTTTAATAAAATTAACATTGAATTTTACTGAG